ACCTCCAAATACTCCATATAATGTTGTATGCCCCCATCAAAAAAATAAAGTTAGAAGAACATATTAGATTTTAGTACCATATTAACCAACACCTCCAAATACTCCATATAATGTTGATAGATATGATCATCGTTTTCTCCCATCATAATATAATATATTTCCAAATTGGCTAGAATTTTATTCGAAAATAAATCACGTGCATCGTCTTCCGCCTTTTTTTTTCACACATTGACGTTAAAGCTCTTAAAGAAACGTAAACAATGATGATAAATGCTCATGAATATACAAAGAACAAAGTTCTGCACAAGAACAAGCTGTGAAAAATTATCTTGATATGAAAAATTGGTTACAATAATGATTTTAAAAATCAATCATCTAAACATGTTGCAGAAAATTAAAATTTTTATAATCTCAATAGTTTTTTACTTATGTGAAATATTACTAAGACAAAAAAAAATCAATTATATATTTCCTCTTCTTGATATTTTGATTAGAGTGACATTGACAATCCCAGTTTAGATAGCTGAACATGCATTTTCAGCTATAAAAATTGTTATAACAAAGTTACAAAATAAAATGAAATTTTTTTTTTTTGTGAGTTTATTGATAACCAATATTGAAAAGGTATTGTAATATGTTTTGATGTAGAATCAATGATAGATGATTTTAATGTAATGAAGAAGCGCTTGGTACAATTTAAGGTGCACATTTTGAATGATTGGAATCAAAAATATCTTTTTTTAGTTTATAATTTATTCGAAAATATTTTTATTTAATCTCATTTATTTATTTAAATATGTAAAAAAAAAATTATTTTGATTTATCTTATTTGATTTTAAATTTCGTAGGATAAGTGATTATGAACCCACAAAATTTCCCGATGTGAATCCAAAGGCGCATTTGATTAGGTTAAGGTGCATGTTGTAGTGGCAAAGAAAATGGAAGCATTCATTTGGATGAAAGATGTGTTGGGGAGCCTACAGGATTTTTCCCAGATGCCGTCGACATACGGTTCCATTATATACTTGAGATCTTTGAAGACTTGGTGCATGAGGCAAGGTAAGTTGTACTAATATTCTTCAATTCAAATAGCATGACTTTGTAGTAGTAAAAGCGTTTATCCTTTTGAAAGGAGGTGGCCTCCTCTGCCCTTGGATTCATCTTTCCAAGTATGCATCCAAGAAGCTAAACATCTGATATTCTGATATTGTGTTAACAACTTGATCTATCTACAGGAGGGGAAAATTATCCTTCGGGCATGCCTTATTGAGGTCGATGCAAAAAAACACACATCCTTCAAGCTCCGCTAACCTTTGTAACAATGACAACATTTGCCAGTAGCACAAGGTAATGCACCTCCCATATTAACCTTTCTTCCAAGAACTTACTAACTTATTGTTTTATTGCCTGCATGCAGTTTAAAGCAATGTTTCACTTCTTCGAGATGATTGTCTTGAACGTCGGATCCACCTTTAAGCAGTACATAATTATCTCTAAGTCCACTCTAAGCATGTCGGCATGGGTCCAAGCGAAGACGTCCTAGCTCCATAGGAGAAGATCTATGTATTACAACCTTTGCTCATCGAAGAGTAGGGAACTGAGCTGCACCATTCGTGAGGGATGATCACCCAAGAGTGGAATGTGAATCAAGTTTTATATGAGAGAAGCTCGATGGGATATGTTTATCCCAGATATCAAAGTTTTTGATTCTAAGCATCACTAATGAGCACAATTGAGCTTGGCCATGGTAGCACGATAGTGATATCTATTGATTTCCACGCACAACACTAATCCCTGTTGGGGTTAAGTACTTCAGCTTGAGGTGTGACACAGAAATAATAATGCAGAAGTTATGCAAGAAGGTCCTTGAAGATGGTGTTGTATGTTGATTCCGACTTGACAATGATAAACTAGATTGAGTGAGTCTATCGGGTAAATTCTCCTATTATGACAAGAGGATTGATCGTTCCTTCGACTCTTACCAGTCTATTATCAAACTGATAAAGTTTCCCAGATATAGGTTGAGGTTTCTCCCTAATGCACAGCAGACTAAGTAAGGTCGAGAAGAACAAGAGGTTCGTTGTCAATCAAAATCCTCTTCACATTGTAGCAAAGTTCATCAATTCCTGTGTTGATGATGAGATGGCCTTGGTGGGAGAGTTGGCCTCCCTCTAGAAAAGAAATCATTGAAAACGATGAGCTTGAAGCATGGTTTCTTTCCACTAGTTCTTCAGGTGTGGTGATAGAGACTTGGTCAGACAAAAATCGGCCTCCCAAATATTTTTTGAATATCGTCAATGATTTAGTGATTCTCATATTATTGCTTCTGCATTTGATGCTCCTCAATAGAAGAGTTGTCCGTGCGGGTGAGCTTATCTTACACAAATCGACCTAAATGCCCTTATCAAATCAATCTCTCAATTTCTTTCTTGAGTGAGTTACATGCTATGGTGGCATAACCACGACTCCATTGGAAGTAATAATATTGCACATGATTCCCCGAGTTGGGTTTCACAGGGTGAGAAAACTTGACGGTCACTTAATCCCTTATGGCCATCAAAATGTTGACATGTAATGTGTTGAGCGATGTATATTCCTTCTCTCATCAAGGCTCATATCACAGGTTTGCAAGCCAGTACGGAGATCATGATTTCTATTGTTGTTCATAATACTTCATTAAGGGGTATGATTAGTATCCCCTATGTTATTTTTATGCTTGCTCCCAAATCGTTCCAGTGATTATAGATTCGATGCGATGAACAAAGTTAGTGTAAGAGCGGACGATCTCTAGCATCAAAAATTGAGTAAAAGGGTACTGGGCAAAGCCCTTCGAAGATGAATCCTCTATGAAATTCTGAATCCACCAATGGAGTCTGGCAAGCTTCAGTGAACAATCTGCGAAAGTAAGGCCTAGAGCGACTTTCACTCATTTCGAAAAATTCCCGAGGGATACGACGATTATTGATGATCCTTACTTGCTCTGAACTGCTACAAGAATATATTGGCAAGCACATTGAAGGTATTAATATTACCTCTCAGGAGATTAGAACCGAATGCGAGCTTGAACCTTGAGAGTGGTAGAAAGCACCTATCAAAAAAGCACATCAAATGCACGCTTCATGTGCATGATAGTTCGATAGTAGTCAATGTGTTCATAAGGGTCGATTACCTCTTCATAGGAATCAATGTTAAAGAGTTTGAAAGCCACCAGGATAAAAATTTGGAGGACCATCTCGACCAAGGACGAAGACTCATGAAAGTTATGACATGTGGAAAAGTGATATGTATCCCCTGGTGATAACTCTTCTCGAATTAGATGTCGTAGCTCGTTATGAATTACTCTATCAGGAGCGACAACATGTTGTGAGACCAAGTTTCTCGTGACCGTCGGTGCATGACAAGACTACTGGAAGAGAGAGTGGAACTCGTTGTGTTGAGGAGGTAAGTGTCCTGACCTGACAAAGAAAGGGTTCCATCACTTGGAGAGGGGAATTTCCAGTTAGCGACTAACTGGTGGCAAGTATGTTTCATCTGGCTATGCATGCATCAAATGTTGGGCCTCACATAGAAGTGGATAGATTTCATGCTAATATTCATCCATTCTAAGCACTTGATCCTCCAGAGAGGGACTTAAGAAGTCTTCACCGGTAGGATAAGGCCTTCTAAGGTGAAACGAGGCGGATGCTTGACATCCATGGCTCCGTGAATGTCTCCTTGAACGATGGGTGTTGGAGTATGATGCACTGTTGTTGCGAGTGTTGTGTCCCGTGGTTATTCAATAAGTTTCATGAGTTCTTTGGTTACAGGATTGTTCGTCTAACAGACAACACTAAACTAATGTGTGTCAAAAGATTCACGACTATATGTGACTATTTGGTGTCTTAGTGTTTTATGAAATCCAACAAACACTCCGATAATAAAAGCAGCAAGTAGAGACATCAGAAGTTTTTTACGTAAAAAACTAAAAAGGGAAAAAGACCATGTGGTCTAGCTTAGCTAAAATGATCCACTGTGAATTGGTGATTACATTCAGACACTTATCTCACAGGCAGGATAGGGTTACAGATCGTCAAGGCATGATGTTCACATGATAAAGGAATCATTGTGCAACAGTCCAGAGTGATTGCAGTTGGGAGTAATTGTCGTAGTCTTGATACACCACCCTTGAAACTTGTGCTGCACCATGCTTAGAACAATATGTTACTCAGTAGGATGTTTCATTGCTCCACAATGTTGATCGTTACTCCACAATGTACATCTTAACTCTACACAGAAGTTCGTTGCAATGAAAAAGGGGTGGCAAATGACAGTCGACAATGACAGACGAGCAATGATTAACAGGGGTCAACAACTATAATAACTAGAAAAGTTCACCTGATCATCAGTGCAGAAACAGAGCTAGAATTCAGCTCCTCTTGATCCTCCTCCGAGGTTAGACCTTCCCTTGACTCAAGGTTTAGATCATGAAGGAGGTACCACTCTATTTATAGAGTTTGGGAGTGCCTCTCTTGCTAAAAAGGAAGTTTTATAGACCACTCTAATGAACGGCCTAAAGATATTCCCACGATTGAATGACATTTTGTGTACACTTAAATGCATTAAAATGTCAGATTTAATTTCTAAAACTTTTAATGCTCATCTTGTTGAAATGTGACCACAAGCCGTTAGATTAAGAATTTGTTAGAATAAGAATTTATTTGACCTTTTGTGCACCAAAAGTTTTTAAAAATGATTTAACGACTCGATTTGAGTTTGATTTAACTTGAATTGGGTCAATTTTGGCGTCATTGGGTCTATCTCCTCGAGCTTGTCTATTTGACTATAAATTTGTTGATATCAGAGCTCTATATGAAGTTAACGTTTCTTACTCAAATTTTGTTTTTTTTTTAAGATTTACATGCATACCACTTAATTCTTACATATTTACATATCTAGAACATATACTTCAATTTTTACATACATATCATCTTACACATGCCAAAAAAGATGTATTCCACTTTTTAAAAGGTGAAATGGTGGTATTTTCATGTGACAAAATTTTAGCATAAATATGAAATGCAAAATTTAGGTGTTGGATATGTAAATACACAGGAATTGAATGGTACGTATGTAGATGCCGTAAGTTGATTTTACACGTAATTTCACCCCAACTCTTAATAATCTCTAGTGGTTAAAAGTTGCATGCACACAAGGCCACCCGTATGCCCCTGCACTGTTTTAACGATGGAGCCATTCTTCACCAAGAGGGGTTGCTGGAGGGGAGTTTTGCTCTGTTGCAGCCAATATAACAACAAATTTTTAGCCTTTCGATCTCTCTAAAGATGCATGAAAAACATTGAGAATCATGAAGCAAACATACAAATGGAATATTGCACTCGACATCGTCATATTACACTAGACATCGTCACTGGTAAACTGCAGAACATCAACATATAGAATAAATCTTGCAATCAATCCATATATTTTCCTTGCGCATATATCAGTAGAACTTGAAAAAATCAAGTACAGAATGTAGTATTGCTTCCAAATGGCATTAATTGCATCTGCACATGTATGAAGAACATACCTTCGCAATTAATTGATTTTTGGACAGAGATAGTAGCCTGGATCTCTAAAAAATCTAAAAATCCTTTCAGCTTTATCCACTGAAAGGTCTGTACTTTCCAAAATAAATTCCTTGGAAGCTCTGGAAATTGCTTCAATAGAGCCGACGGCACCTGCAAGCTAAACAATGAAATAAATCTTGAAAGCACTTACGAGGTGATTCTTTAGCAAAAGGATGACTCATATGAAAATACCTAAGAGAATTTACTAGAAAATTTGGTTTTAAATGCCTCGTCATTGCAAATATGCCTGCTATTTTATTATTTGGAGAAAATACCTCAAAAGTTTATTTTGGACCAAATTACTTCCATGAAAATACCTCAAAAGTTTATTTTGGACCAAATTACTTCCATATAGAAATTGGGGTTAGCACCGTTGCTCAATCATTCCTCTTCCCAGCACCTTCTTCATCTCTGGCAATCTCAAAGCTTGTATGATCGGTTTGTTGTAGGAGTTTATAGTGGTGATCTTGACTTTTCAATCAAATGTTCAAATTTTGCAATTTTATAATTTTGTTTATGTAAGTTTAAATATATCCTTCGCATTCTAAACTCTAAACCCAATAATAATAGACATCATATTGTCTGCTAAAAACACATTCGAATCTTGTTCAAACTACCAAGTCACTTGAACAAATTATGAGTACAATTTAAACAAAGTTCTAACAGGTTTTAACAAGTTTTTAGCAGAGGTCAAAGAAGATTCAAACAAAATTCAAACAAGGTTAGAACAAGGTTCGAGCATTATTCAAATAATATTCAAACATGATTCATTGAATCATTTATTTTAGCCTTCATTATAATACATAAAATTTAACTAATTTGAATTATTTTATTATACATACAAATTTCCATTCTAATCATACTTGTAGAAACATTAATTATATGAGCCACATTGAAAGTAACAGTGATAAGGACAAAGTGACTAAACAATTTTAAGCTTATAAGCTCATAATAAAGACTGAGATCTCCCCTCCAATTAGTTCTTTAAATATCTGGAATTAATATTTCTTTGGGGCCCCAATTCAACTACTGCTAAGAAAAATCGATTAAAAAATAAGAAATACTTTATTGTGTTCAAAATTTGAGGCAAGAAGACACGGAGAGTTGTTGAATTTGCTCTGATCAGCTGTTGACGTTCGGAGAAATTTCATATTAGAAAGAAATCAAGAATGTTTACAAGCAGAAGCAATGGCTGATATATATTTAATTTAGCGGAGACAATAACTTCAAAAATACAGACCTGGATAAATCACACATACAGGGCACCGACAAGGATAATGTATAAAGTTTAGGTTTATGCTATCATATAATATAATCATCCTTAACTATGATTTGTTTAAGAAGGATATAGTGTACTATAAGACCCCCGCTTTGAAAAACATTGCTCTAGCCTAGTCCATTATAACTGGATATGCGATAACATTACAATACTAATCCAAAATCGATGAGCGAAGGTGCAGAGTACTTTGGAGAGAGAGCATCTAGGACACTGAGCTAAGAGTAATAAAATACTCAGAAAAAAAAAATTTAGCAATTTCGATGAATAAGAATATAAATTGTATGCAAAATATTAGATTTTAACTGTAAGTTATGTGTTAGATTATTATGATAAATTAACTCGGAAGCCTAATTAAATTGTTTATATAGGCAATCGTTTATCCTACACTGATGAATAGTACAAAAAAAAAACTTGTATAAATCCATGGTTCCCACTCAGTACATCCCAATTAGAGTTCTAAAAAAAGGTGACAATCATATGTTCAGGCGAGAAAATAAAAGCTGAAGAACAATCAACTGCTAGTCAGTCTACGCCCTACTCCAAAGAGTCAAAATAGTTTTTGTTATTATTTAAAAGCTAAAAAATATTCAATGTTGATTGGAGAATGTAGGAATTGAAAATTTAGCGGATTGCTTTATTGATATGAAAAGAGGATATAAATACACCTTACAAGAATCTTCAAATAAGAAAAACATGAAAATTAAAATAACAGGAAATAAAAAGACATAATTCCATATAATTACTTGGAGATAAAAGGAAAACATAAAACAGGAAGGGCGGTAAATGGGAAAACATAAAATTGGAAGGACAATAAATCCCAATGTTTTCAAAACAGAACTAGACCGACCAGTTCAACCGGTTCGACCGTGAACCGGTTAGTGGTCCGGTTCGACAATCTAATTAAACTGCTTCAACATCAAACCGTTCCAGATCGCCTCAAACCACCTATTTGACCGGTGAATTAGCAAACCAATTCCTGTTTCCGAGAATCGGGAGAAATAATTTCTAACATGTAACTACTTTGATTATCCCAACTAGTGGAGCCGCTTTGACTTTCCTCCCACAGTCAGAGGGTATTATCAAATTTCCACAATATTTATTAAATTACCTGTTATCTCAAGTTCGGCATGTTTCCTGTACGAAACAAATAAAAAATTACGACTTGCCTTTTTTCACTAGACAAGCTTTCTAACAAGCTTTCAAATATTAAATGACATGATAGTTGTTTTGGCTTTTGTGACAAATTAATATTTTTATTAAAATTTAACTGATGTTCTTGTCCATTTCTTAGGAAACCACGTAAGAATTTCCTTTTAGGTTTTAAATTAAAGCAATAACTTGTGAAATATTATGCATTTTTTATTAAAATTTAAGTGATAAAATAATTCATTCTATTGTGATTTTGGTGGACTACTTAATGTGTAATTTAAAATATAGATTTTGGATTATCATTCATTAGAAATATAATTTCATAATTCAATGTAAGCAAAAAAAATTTTTTAATTTTTATTCTATAGTTAATCAATTTTTTAAATTTTATAATTTTGCATTTTATTGCAATATTTTGATTATATTTAAATTTTTTTTATGATTATTATGTCATCTGATTCAACCCCAGTTGAACATATGAGCCTTGAACCTCTCTTTCTTCCGGTTTGATGTTCGATTTGGTTTTCACTACCTTGATAAATCCAATCCTTCTAATATAAAAAGGGCAATAAATACGAAAACATAAAATAAAAAGGGCAACAAATACAATCCTTCTAACACTCCCACTCGAGTTGAAGCATACATGTCAATCGGGCGAGGAAAATTCTTTGTAAGAATATCAATCAGTTGTCCAGTAGATGGAACAAACGAAACACAAATCTCCATGAAATCAAGTTTGTCCTTGATAAAGTTAAGGTTAATCTCCACTTATTTGGTATGATCAAGTTGGACCTGATTGGGAAAAATGCTAATGACGGTTTTATTATCACAAAACAGCTGCAAAGGAGCAGTGACCGACATACATAACTTAGTGAGCATAATGTGCAACCAGAGGGCTTCATACACCCCCAAAATCATAGATCGAAACCCAGTTTCAAAACTACTACAGGGAACTACAGATTGTTTTTTTACTTTTCCAAGTGACAAAATTCCTCCAAACGAATGAGCAATAACCTAAGGTAGATCGCCTGTCATGGATGAACCCGACTCAATGAAGGTCCGTATAAACCACAATAAAGTTGAAGTTGCGACGAGAGAACAACAAATCTGAGTCTGGTGTGTCTTTTATGTAGTGGAGAGTCCCATATCGTGGTGCGATGGTGCTCGTAGGGATCATGCATGAACTGGCTGACGATACCCACGACGTGACAAATGTCTAAACGAGTATAGGCGAGATAAATGAGCTTACCGACAAGGCATTAGAAGTTGGTTTTGTTCACTGGAATGACATTGGGAGTATTCAATAATTTCTCATTTAGGTCCATCAGAACAGCAACCAGTTTGCAAAAAAACAAAGGTTGATCTCGATCAATATTCCATCTGATCTTTGTATCGAGAAAGGAAAATGCCCCAAAAATACCGAGTTGCTTCCATCTCTAAGAATTACCAAAAAGACACAAGTCTTTCATTTCAAAAGATGCGGCAAGGATGCCTTTGAGAGACTCCAAGGCTAGAAAATCATTACCTGTGAGCACAATGTCGTCGACATAGACGATCAGGATGGTAATACGACCATTAGATGAATGCCAAACAAGTAGTGTATGACCAGATTGGGGATAAGAGAGCACACGGCCGAGTACAGCCTGCATGAACTTATCGAACCAGGCCCGTGAGGATTGCTTCAGTCCATAGAAGGACTTACACAATTGGCACACTAGTCCACGGGAAGTCGAGTCAAACTCTGGTGGGAGAGACATATAAACCTCCTCAGTTGAATCTCCATTAAGAAAAGCATTATTGACGTCCAACTGAAGTAAGGGTCAATCACGATTCATGAGTAATGATAATAGGACTTGAATGGTATTTAGTTTGACAACTGGAGTAAATGTCTCTTATTAGTGAACTCCATAAATACGAGAATGTCCTTTGATGACCGGCTGTGTTTTGTTGCGTTCAAAAGAACCATTGAAGTTAAACTTGGTGCTGAAGATCCACGAACATTCTACTGCTTTCTTTCCCTGGGGTAGATCGGTCACATTCAAAGTATGGTTATGTCGAAGAGCATTCATCTCATCCATGACAGTAATCTTCCAGAAAGCCAAAGGAGTTTCAGTAATGCATGGGGACAACGGTCCTTCACAAAAGTAGCAAATTCTGTGTCGAGTGAGCCAAAGGAGTTTCAGTAGTGCATGGGAGACAACGGTCCTTCACAAAAGTAGCAAATTCTGTGTAGGTTGGAGATAGGTTGTGAAACAAGATGTATTTGGCAATGGGATACAAAGTTTCTGTCGTTATTTGTTTGCATACCTCAATATGGAGATTCACATCTTCACTTGGATCAGTAGTGACTTATGTTGGTGGAGAAGGCATCATTTCAGGAATGTCAGCAAGAGCAAATTTCAAGACCTGCAACAGTGCAAGGGACTCGACTGTAGGGGCATTGGGACGAACTTCAATAGAGGATTTTTTACGACAAGTATAATCGTGAATAGATGATAATGGTAATGTTGGTCTGGCTAGTGGTAATTCCATAGGTGTTGAAGGTGCACCGGATATCGTGCTCATAGAAGGGATGTCCAACGATGTCGAATGAGAAACAACGTCCAAAGTATAAAACATCCCCTCACTTAAGATAGTGTTACGGAAGAATGGAACATTTTCAAAAAAAGAGATAACGACACTAACATAGT